CAGAGTTGATAAGGAGAGTCAAAAGTCTGTCCACTCCACAAGAGCTGTAGGTCAAATTCCATCCCTCCCAGGTGGTCAGGAGTCATGATGAAAGACTTGGCGTTTGGCAGAGTGTGGTGTTCCATCACAAAATGCCCTGGGTAGATGGGAATAATCAGGTTCATAAAGTCCAGATTTCTCCTTGTGGGGGAAGAGCGAATGGCCTTGAAGAAGGGGAGGAAGAACTTCTACCAAGACAACAATCAGATAAAAGTGGCCTGAACCCTGGCCAAGAAATTAAGTTCCTTGTTTTGGGGAGATGGGCAGGTATACAAATTTTAAAAATCTATATATGTAAAAATGGCTCTGTGTGTGTTTGTGTGTTTGTGTTCCAGCATAACTCTGGAATGCCTTGAGCAATTTCAACCAAACTTGATACACAGATGACTTATTCTCTGGAAACAAATACTGTGGGGAGTAAGACACCCCTAACGGCCCTCGGGGTGTGTATTCTGTTAAGATACAGCCTGTTGTGCCTTAAAATGGCTTCTACTGTACTGCCGTAAAATGGCTTCTACTGTACAGCACAGTGGAGTTGTCATGGTAACGGCTTCACAGTACCCCCAAGGGGGCTCCCTCTAGTAAAGGGGAAAATCCAACATTAGAGATTGTGGCGACACTGATGCTCATCACAATGTAGCTTTTGAAAATAAATCAATGCGTGTTGGGATACAATTCCAGAAAAGAATGCTTCCCTCCCACTATCAAGAAATACCAACATTCAAAATGTCTGGAATACCAAGGCAGAAAAAAAGTGGGCATCCTTGGTAAGTTTGCAGAACGCAAGAATGACTCACCTCTGAACTTGGCGTGAGTTTTGAACTCAATGACCAGCCGACCATCATCTCGGATGTAGATCCTGATGATCTGCAGTTTGGCTGACAGGACGCTGTCCGTCTGTATACCTGAAGGCGAGAATGCCAACAGTCCGGGCTTCCTCAACTGGGGATCACGGATTAGTCATCATATCGCCCCCCCCCTTCCCTCAGTTGGAATCCACTTCCAGCAGGAGGCCCAGAGGCCTCCGCAGGTTCCAACCAGTTCTGGAGAACCGGTAGCGGAAACTTTGAGTAGTTCAGAGAACCAGTAAATGCCACCTCTGACTGGCCCCACCCCCATCTATTCTCCGCCTCCCACATCCCAGCTGATCGGGAAAGAATGGAGATTTTACAGTGACCTTCCCCTGCCATGCCCACAAAGCCACGCCCACAAAGCCACACCCACAATAACGGTAGTAAAAAATTTTGAATCCCACCACTGAGGAGGCCACCAAGGAAGTTCTCAATAAGCCACTTGGCCAAGCTGAGGGCAACTTAGCATGCTGGGGTTTATAGAGCTCTCCCTTTCACCCCCGTGTCATATAGAAAATAAAACTAGCCCTCCCCCGCTACCTGTTCTCCAGAGAATGGTGTCATAGAAGAAGGAAAACTCCATCTCCGTGTGATGCTCAAGAGAGGCCCAGCCTCTGGGCGCGGTTACGTAAACGTAGGAGACGTAAAGTGGGACATGGACTGTCAAGAATGACTGAGCAGAATCCCGAACCTGTCATCACAGAAGGAAAAATTAGTTTACAGTTTTTTACATACCATCTTGCCTTTTTGTACAGCAGAGGGACCAATCTGGCTGGCCATGCCCCTCCCTCCAGCCCGTAAGGGCCTGCTGTTTTAAAATATAGTGTTTACTATCTTCAGCCTCCAATTCCATAATATGCTTTTAAATCTTGGACACGGAGGTGCCTTGGGTGCAGGGATGGATGACGTATAAATAAAAATAATAATTAAATAAAATGAAAACAGAGAGAGAGAGAGAGAGAGAGAGAGAGAGGATGGAGAGGGTGAGAAGTGCGGCTTTTTCACGCTTCTGATGGGCCGCTCATGCTTGTAGCCGAATGGGAAGAAAAACACCGGA